AGCAGAGGCGGAGCCCGGAGCAACAGCAGAGGCGGAGCCCGGAGCAACAGCAGAGGCGGAGCCCGGAGCAACAGCAGAGGCGGAGCCCGGAGCAAGAGAGGGGTCAGGAGCAGGGGCGGGGCGTGCTCTCAAAAAGCAGCAGGCAGGCGTTGACCTCCAGGTTCCAGCCACGTTGCTCCCTGCCCGGCGATGTCCCCCAGGGTCCCTGCGGGGCGGAGACCTCTAGTCCTGCAGGTGCTGCAGGCACTCCTGATGATGCTGTTGGCGCCATGGAGGTTGTGGGCGTTAGAGGATGACGAGTGTACCTGGCAGTTTGTCTTGAACAAGTTCGACAGGGTAGGCCAGAGCAGTGCGAGCGACCGCTTCTTTCATCAAGAACCCGTGGACACAGTGGAGAGCGTGTTCAGAACGCTGGTGGACGAGCCAATCGACTTGGAAGAGGTGAGGGGATCAGGGTTAGGCCAACAAGAGAGTCGTGGACCCGCTCCCCACTGGGCTCTGCACATTCACTCAACTTCTCCTTGCAGAAATACCTGGGCTTCCCTTACTTCCTGAAGATCAACTACTCCTGCGAGGGAGCGGTGAGTGGGGACAGCGAGATTGGGCTCATTTTGTGAGCCTCAGTTTCCTCATCGCTAACATTTTAATAGTGGTGGCACTATCTGATCTCAGGGGGGCCATAAGAATTCACGAAGATTATGTACAGTTCCCAGGAACCCACCAGGCACATAGTAGGTGCTCAAGTAAGCTTTTCTTTTTACTGTATTTTTTTAAACATAGAATTCACATTCCGTAAAACTCTCCATTTTAAAGTGTACAATTCAGTGGTTTGTAGTATATTCCCAAAGTTGTGCAACATAACCACTAATTCTAGGACATTTTCATCCCCCCAAAAGGAAACCCCATACCTGTTAGTAGTCACTTCCCATCACCTCCTCCCTGCAACCCCGGGCAACCACTAATCCGCTTTCTCTCTCTCTGGATTTGCCTATTCCGGGCGTTTTTGTAAATGGAACCATACAATGTGTGGCCTCTTGTGTCTGGCTTTCACTTAGCATAATGTTTTCCAGGTTCATCCATTTCGTAGCATGTATCAGAACTTCCTTTTTTATAGCTGAATAATATTCCATTATACGGATATAACACTTTTTGTTTATCCATTTATCAATTGATGAATACTTTTCCACTTTTTTTGGCGATTATGAATAATGATGCTATGAAAGTTCACGTACAAGTTTTTGTGTGAACGTATGCTTTCATTTCTCTGGGGTATATACTTAGGAATGGAACTGCTAGGCTCTTAGGACCCCCGGTTGCACAGTGGTTAAACGCTGGCTGCTAACCAAAGGTCAGCGGTTTGAACCCACCAGCTGCTCTGCGAAAGATGTGGCAGTCTGCTTCCTGCTACCGTAAAGATTACAGCCTTGGAAACCCTATGGGGCAGTTCTACTCTGTCCTATAGGGTTGTTGTGAGTTGGAATCAATGGCAACAGGTTTGGTTTTTGGTTTTTTTTTTTTTTTTTTTTTAAATGGGAACTCTATGTTTAACTTCTAAAAAAATAATATTTTATTATGTTTTTGGTGAAAGTTTACACAGTAAATTAGGTTCTTTTTTAACAATTTCTATACGTATTGTTGAGTGACATTGGTTACATTTTTCACAGCGTGTCAATATTCTCATTATTTCCATTCTGGTTGTTCCATTTCCGTTAATCTCGTTTCTCTGCTCCCTCTTAGCTTCTCGTCTTTGCTTTAGAGTAACTGTTGACCATCTGGTCTCACACAGATGATTTTTTTTTTTTTTTAAAGAAGCACAGTTCTCCCAAGTAATATTGTTTATTTCATGAGCCAATCTGTTATTTAGCTGAAAGGTGACCGCTAGGAGTGGTTTCAGTTCAGAGTTTAAAGGGTATCTCAGAGAAATAGTCTTGGGGGTTCCTTTAGTCTCAACTGGTCCAGTAAGTCTGGCCTTTTTTAAGAATTTGAGTTTTGTTCTACCTTTTTGTCCCATTCTATCCATGACTATCTGTTGTGGTCAGAACGATTGGTAGTGGTAGCCGGGCACCATCTAGTTCTGGTCTCAGGGTAGATGAGGCTGTAGTTTGTGTAGACTATTTGCCTGGTAGACTAGTTTCTTCTTTGAGTCTTTGGTTTCCTTCTTTCTGTCTTGCTTTGGGCAAGTGGAGACCAATAGTTGTATCTCAGATGGCTGCTCGCAAGCTTTGAAGACTCCAGACACTACTTAACCAAAGTAGGATGTAGAGCATAAACTTTACGGACTATGTTGTGCCAATCAACCGAGTTGTCCCATGAGGCTATGGTGCTAAGCCTTCAAACCCAGTAAACCAATCTTGTGAGGTGTTTGGTTATGTCTAGGAAGTATCCATAACTGTTCTCCCAATGTGCTTTATTATATACATAATATGTATGCTGCACACACTTACATGTATATATGCCTCCAGATATACATGCACACGTATATACCCACATATATCTCCTGTACACGTGTATGTATACATATTTATTTATGTAACTACACACATATTTTTGGTTGTTATCGCTGTTGTTGCAAAATTGTATATGATACAGCATTTACCAAAAACATCCCTTATTCTCGTGTACTTCTTAGCGTCATCATTTACCTCGGTCAGGCTGCGCGCACTTCACCTACATTCAGTATTATCTTTCCTGTCACCAAAAATAAAAAGTGCCTACTATCTAAAGTGATTCCCCCTCTCCTCCTCCCATCCCTGGTAACCACCAATGAACGCTGATTTCTGTTTGTATACCTATTCTTGTCTTTTTATAAAAGTGGAATCATGCAATATTTGTCCTTTTGTGATTGACTTATTTTACTCAACATAATGTTCTCCAGATTTGTCCATGTTATAAGACGTTTCAAGGAGTCATCATTATTAATAGCTGCGTAGTATTCCGTTGTATGTATGTATCACATTTTATTTATCCATTCGTCTGTTGAAGAGCGCTTAGTTTGTTTCCATCTTTTTGCTATTGTGAATAGTGCTGCAGTGAACATAGGTGTGCGTATGTCTGTTCGTGTTACTTCTGTTAGGTCTTTTGGGTTATGTTTAACTATTTCCCAAAATGGCTATGCCATTTTACATTCCTGCCAGTAATGTTACGAGTTGCCATCAAATCAACTCAGACTCACGGTGACCCCATGGGCATCAAAGTAGAACTGAGTTTCATAGGGTTTTCAATAGCTGATTTTTCGGAAGTAGATTACCAGGGCTTTCTTCCAAGGGGCCTGTGTGTGAACTCAAACTTCTAACCTTTTGGTTAGCAGCCAAACACATTAACCATTTGTACCACCCAGAGATTCCTACCAGCAGTGTATGAGCGTTCAATTTTCTCCACATCCTCACCAACACTTGTTATTATCTGTCTTTTTGGTTATAGCTATTCTTGCTGTTATGGTAGTGACCCCTAGAGGGTGTCAAATGGTATCTCATTGTGGTTTTGATTTGCATTTCCCAGATGGCATCTTTTCCTGTGCTTATTGGCCATTTGTATATTTTCTTTGGAGAAATATCTATTCAAATCCATTGCTTATTTTAAAATTGGGTTGTTTGTCCTTTTATTGTTGAGTTGTGAAAGTTCTTTATATAATCTGGATACTAGCCCCTTATCAGATACATGCTTTACAAATATTTTATTCCACTCTGTGGGTTATCTTTTTACTTTTTTGATGGTGTCCTTTGAAGCAGAAAAGTTTTTATTTTTATCGATATGTAATTCACCTACCATAAAATAGCACAGAAGTTTTTAATTTTGATGAAATCCAAATTAAAGTCCATTTTTTTCTTTTTTTGCTTGTGCTTTTGATGTTGTCTAAGGAGGCTTTGCCTAACCCAGTGTCACAAAGATATATTCCTATGTTTTCTTCTAAGAGCTTTTTAGTTTTAGATCTTACCTTATGGCTTTGATCTATTTTGAGTTAATTTTGGTATATGGTGTGAGGATGGGGTCCAACTTCTGCAGGGGACTATTGTAGAATAGACTGTTCTTTCACCCATTGAATTGTCCTGGCACCCTTGTCAAAAATAAATTGACCACAAATGTCAGGGTTTACTTGGACCCAATTCTATTCCATTGCTCTATATGTCTGTCTTTGTGCCAGTTCCACACAATCTTGATTACTGTAGCTTTGTAGTAAGTTTTGAAGTGTGAGTCCTCCAACTTTGTTCTTCTCCTGCAAAATTTTTTTGGCTCAAGTAAGCTTCTTGAGAGGCAGTAGAGTGTTGTGGTCTAGAACTGGAATTCTCGAGGCTGTAGACCTGGGTTTGAGTCTGCCATTGATTAATATTTACTTGGAGGAAGTACAACATGATACTTGATCCTTAGGGCTCTGGAGCCAGGATAATACCAAAATCAAACCCATTGCCATCGAGTCCATTCTGACTTATGGCGAACCCATGTGTTACAGAGTAGAACTGCTCCATAAGATTTTCTTGGCTGTAATCTTTACGGATGCAGATCGCTGGGGCTTTCTTCCATGGTGCCACTGGGTGGGTTCGAACTGCCAACCTTTAGATTAGTAGTCGAGTGCAAACCATTTTTACCACCCAGGGAGCCAGGATGTCTGGGTTCAAATCCCAGCTCTGCCACTAATAGCTGTGTGATCTTGGGCAAATTACTTAACCTTTCTGTTCCAAAGTTTCTTCATCTTTATCAAGGGTATGCGAATAATCATACCTTAAAGGGTTGTTATGAGTATTAAATGATTAAATATGTGTTAAGTACTTACACAGCATCTGGTTATAGGAAGGGCTCAGTGAGTGTTAGTAACTTACTAGGGTGTGACCCTGGACAGAGGGTTTTACTCCATGAGCCTTCTTTCCTTATCTGTAAAAGTGTGATAATAATACCTTTTCTGTTCATTCAACACGTACTATGAAACAAGCCCTCTTCTTGTTGCAGGGGATACAGTGGTAAACAAAATGGCCAGGTTTTTTCTCATGGATTCACTCCACTGGGGAAGCAGATGATCAACAATTACCTAAAATGATCTCTGCTAGAGATTAAGTGTGAAGAAGAAAATAAAATGAGGCAATATGTTAGAAGGGAGGGGTGGTTAGGGAAATCCTCTCTGAGCAGAGACCTGAACGATGAAAATGGCAGTCACGAGGAGAGCTGGTAAGCATTCCAGGCAGAGGAACAGACAATGCAGTGTCCTAAAGATGGGAATAGGTTGGTATGTCTGAGGAACCATGAGGAGGCCTGTGTGACTGGAGCAGAATGAGCATGGGGAGAGTGGGAAGAGATAGGTCAGGAAGGAAACTGTGGACCATGGTTAGGACTTGAGCTTTTACCCAGTGAGATGGAGCCATGAGAAGGTTCTGAGCAGAGAAGTGATGTGATCTGACTCAGGTGTTCACAGGACCCCCCCAGCTGTGTAGGGGGCAGCAGTGGGAACAGGGAGCAGCAGTGGGAACAGGGAGATAGTGAGGAGGTTGCCGCAATGTCCACATGAGAGAAGGTGAACAGGACCAGGTGCTGGCGGCCATTGTTGCCCCGCCCCACCAGCACCTTCTCCCCCATGATTGGGAACCCAGAAGTATGACTGGAGACTGGCATAGTTGGCAGGATTGGAAGGGCCCTGGCCAAGGCATCCCTCAGGAAGAAGAGCCGTGCAAAGATGGTTGGACTCGTTAAATCCCTAGCCCTGGTCCCACAGCCCTGCACACACAGAGGCTTGAGTGTAGCCCTTCCTGGGGAAGCCGCCATACTTTTGCTTATGCTGTTCCATACACCTGGAGCACGCTTCTCCCTCCCTCCTTCCATCTCCACTCTAAGGCCTGCCTGCCCTTAGGATCCTGGCATCTCTGAAAGGTTGTCCCTAGCTGCCCCCTCACCTTTTTCCTCAGTTCCTCCCTGGCTAACTGCCTCATCCCACCCCCCAACCCTCTTGACCCAGCCCCAAAATCTGGCTGTCCTCTGAGTGGTGGGGGTGACAGAGTCTAGCAAGGGTGGAAGCCCACTTCAGGTGTGGGACTGGAAATCCCTGGTGTAAGGAAAGAGGCTACTAGCAGTTCTGGGGTTCAGGTGTATTCCATGATGTATTTGCTTATCCCATGCCGCCCTCTCCTGTGTGCTCCCTACATCCAAATTCTGTCTGAAGACCCTGGCTCTGGACTTCCCTACTCTAAGAAGACCTCCCTGTCTCCCTCCACAGCCCCTAACCCTCTGCCCTCTCCTAGCCTGGCCCATTCCCCCACCCCAGCCCCAAATCAAGACTGTGTTCTCTGACTGTCCCCACCCAGCCCCAGAAGAGAGGCTACTTACTAAAGGTGGGGTAAAGGCAGGGGTGCCCAGTGGCTTTCTTAAGGACATACCTGTGGTGCCATCTCACCCTCAGCCCTCTGAGGCCCTGATCCGTAAGGGCCACCTGACGGGGCTAAAGCCCGTGGTGCTGGTCACCTTCCATTCCCCAGTCAACTTCCGCCGATGGAAGATAGAGCAGCTACAGATCCAGATGGAAGCAGCTCCCTTCCGCAGCAAAGGTAGGCCTGGGGGGTACCTGGATAGGCCATAGCCTGCGGTGATTGAAGGGTGGAAAGGGGGGATGGTGGAGGCCTCAGTGGGGTTCATGCTGTGGAGGAGAACCTGGGGCTGATCAGAGGGGTCCATGGCCTAGAGGAGGGCATGGAAGATCCCAGTGTGGTCTGTGAACTGGAGGGGGCCACTGGGAGACCCCAGCAGCCTCAGAGTCCCCTGCCTTCCAACAGAAGCCTGTAATGCAGAGGAGGTGTGTTCCATGAGCTGGTACACGCCTATGCCCATCAAGAACGGCAGCGTGGTCATGCATGTGGATATCAGCAGCAATGGCCTGGGGCCCATCATCCCCAGGAAAAGGTGCCCTTTCCTGAGCCCGGCTCATGGGGTAGACTCTGGGAGGGACTTCCTCATCCCCAGATCCCGAAAGGATACAGGGGAAACCAAAGGGAGGGAATAGGGTGGAAGGCAGTTGTGAGGGTTCTGAAACCGAGACCTTCACCTGTGCCTGCCCTGCACCCACTGCCAGGTTCTATTTGAATATAAACGGTTTCCTGAAGATGCAGCGAGACAACACAATCCAGTTCACTGTGGGGAATGAGGTGAGGGGGCCTGAGCAGTGGGGAAGGGAGACTTGGTTAAAGACTATGGTCTGTGCCTCGGGCTGGGCCCCGATTACTTCTAAACACTTCCAGAGCGCTTACTTTGCGCCTGCCTCAGGCACAGTGCTTTCCTGAATGCACAAGTCTTCAAAATGACCTGGGGAGGGGAGATACTCTCACACACCCATTCTGAAGACAAGAAGACTGAGACGGCACAGTCTCTCAGCAGGTGCATGTGGAACAGAGAATTAAAACTGTGTCTGCACCCAACTGACGCGTGCACTCATATTCTTTTTTTCAAACAGTACTGTGTTTTTGGTGAAGATTTACACAGCGGTTTAGGTTCCCATTCAGTGTCTACACAAGTTGTTCAGTGACTTGAGTCACATTCTTCACAATGCGTGAACATTCTCGTTGTTTCCGTTCTGGTTGTTCCATTATCTAGTTTCTCTGCCCCCTTACATTTTCGTCTTTGTTTTAAAGAAATTGTTGACCGTTTGGTCTCATAAAGGTAGTTTTTTAAAGGAGCACAGTACTTATGGGTGATATTTTTTGAGCCATTTGTTATTTAGCTATAAGATGACCTTGGGTCAGTTTCGGTTCAAGGTTTGAAGAGTATCTAGGGAATAGTCTCATGGATTCCTCTAGTCTCAGCCAGTCCAGTAGGTCTGGGTTGTTTTTTCTTTTTTTTTTTTTTTGGAATTCCAGGTTCTGTTACGCATTTTTCTCCCATTCTATCAGGGTCCATCTATTGTGGCCCTGGTCAGAGTGACAGGTAGTAGTAGCTGGGCACCATCTAGTTCTTCTGTCTTAGGGTAGATGAGGCTGTGGTCCATGTAGACTGTTCGTCCTGTACACTAATTTCTCCTTTAAGTCTTTGGTTTCTTTTCTCTTTTGCTCTGAACGAGTTAAGACCAATAGTTGTATCTCAGATGGCCGTTCACAAGCTTTTAAGACCCCAGACACTGCTCACCATACTAGGATGTAGAACATACCTTTATGAACTACATTACGCCAATTATATCCTTTCACCATACTTATTCAACCTGTATGCTGAGCAACTAATCCAGGAAGCTGGACTGTATGAAGAACGTGCATCAGGATTGGTGGAAGACTCATTAACAACCTGTGATAAGCAGATGACACGACCTTCCCTGCTGAAAGTGAAGAGGACTTGAATCACTTACTGATGAAGATCAAAGACCACAGCCTTCAGTATGGATTACACCTCAACATAAAACAAAAATCCTCACAACTGGACCAATAAACAACATCATGATAAATGGAGAAAAGATTGAAGTTATCAAGGGTTTCATTTTACTTGGATCCACAATCAGCACCCGTGGAAGTAGCAGTCAAGAAATCAAACAATGTATTGCTTTGGGTAAAACTACTGCAGAAGACCTCTTTAAAGTGTTGAAAAGCAAAAATGTCACTTTGAGGACTAAGGTGCACCTGACCCAAGCCATGGTGTTTTCAATCGCCTCATATGCATGCGAAAGCTGGACAATGAATAAGGAAGACCGAAGAAGAATTAATTCATTTGAATTATGGTGTTGGCAAAGAACATTGAATATACCATGGACTGCCAGAGGAAAAAACAAGTATGTCTTGGAAAAAGTACGGTCAGAGTGCTCCTTAGAAGTGAGGATGGTGAAACTATCACCTAAAGCACAATTAAAAAAAAAAAAAAGAATGGCAAGACTTTGTCTCATGTATTTTGGACATGTTATCAGGAGGGACTAGTCTCTGGAGAAGGACATCATGCTTGGTAAGGTAGAGGGTCAGTGAAAAAGGAAGACCCTCGATGAGATGGATTGACACAGTGACTACAACAGGCTCAAACATAGCAACGACTGTGAGGATGGTACAAAACGGGGCAGTGTTTTGTTCTGTTATACCTAGGGTCGCTATGAGTTGGAACCAACTCAACCGCACCTAACAACAACATGCCAATTGACTGAGATGTCCCACGAGACTATGGTCTTAATCTTTCAAACCCAGAAATCCAGTCCTGCAAGGTGTTTGGTTATGTCTAAGAAGTATCTATAACTGTGTCCCCTGTTTATTATATATATGAATATATGCACATACAGTCACATAGATGCATACACATATGCATATACTTACATCTATATATACTTAAGGAGCCCTGGTGGTGCGTGGTTAAGAGGTTGGCTGCTAACCAAAAGGTCAGCAGTTCGAATCACCAGCCACTCCGTGGAAACCCTATGGGGCAGTTCTACTGTGTCAGAATTGACTCAACAGCATTGGGTTTCGTTTTATATATACAGGCGTATATACCTATCTATACACGTATATCCCCACATGTCTGTCAATTTTTCGTACTGTGGTGGCTTACGTGTTGCTGTGATGCTGGAAGCTATGCAACTGGTATTTCAAATACTAGCAGGGTCATTCATGGCGGACAGGTTTCAGTGGAGCTTCCAGACTAAGAACAGGAAGAAGGATCTGGAGGTCTACTTCTGAAAAAATTGGCCGGTGAAAATCTTACGAATAGCAGCAGAACATTGGTATAGTGCCTGAAGATGAGCCCCTCTGATTGGAAGACTCTCAAAATACGACTGCGGAAGAGCTGCCTACTCAAAGTAGAGTCGACTGTAATGACGTGGATGGAGTAAAGCTTTTGGGATCTTCATTGGCTGATGTGACACGACTCAAAATGAGAAGAAATTACAGCTGCAAACATCAATTAATTATCTGAACATAGAAGGTGCGAAGTATGAATCTAGGAAAATTGGAAGTCATCAAAAATGAAATGGAATGCATAAACATTGATATCCTAGGCATTAGTGAGCTGAAATGCACTGGTACTGGCCATTTTGAATTAGAGAATCATATACAACTATGCCAGGAGTGACAAATTGAAGAGGAATGGCGCCACATTTACTGTCAAAAAGAACATTTCAAGATCTATCCTGAAGTACAACGCCATCAGTGATAGGATAATATCCACATACCTACAAGGAAGATCAGTTAATATGACTGTTATTCAAATTTACGCACCAAGCACTAATGCCAAAAATGAGAAAATTGAAGATTTCTACCAACTTCTACAGTTTGAAATTGATCAAACATGCAATCACGATTCATTGATAATTCCTGGTGATTAGGATGCAAAAGTTGGAAACAAAGAAGGAACAGTATTTGGAAAATATGGCCTTGGTGATAGAAACAACTCCGTAGATCGCATGATAGAATTTTGCAAGACCAACGACTTCTTCATTACAAGTAACTTTTTTTCAACAACATAAACAGTGACTATACACGTGGACCTCACCAGATGGGATACGTAGGAATCAAATCAACTACATCTGTGGGAAGAGAAGATGGAGAAGCTCAATATCATCAGTCAGAACAAGGCTAGGGGCTAACTGTGGAACAGACCATCAATTACTCATATGCAAGTTCAAGTTGAGCTGAAGAAAATTAGAACAAATCCACAAGAGCCAAAATATGACCCTGAGTATATCCTTCCTGAATTTACAGACCATCTCAGACTGGATTTGATTCATTGAACACTAGTGACCCAAGACCAGATGAGTGGTGTAATGACATCAAGGACATCATAAATGAAGAAAGCGAAAGGTCATTAAAAGGACAGGAAAGAAAAAAACAAAATGGATGTCAGAAGAGACTCTGAAACTTGCTTTTGAACATAGAGTAGCTAAAGCAAACTGATGAAGTAAGAGAGCTGAACAAAAGATTTCAAAGGGCAGCTCCAGAAGACAAAGTAAAGTATTATAATGAAATGTGCATAGACCTGGAGTTAGAAAACCAAAAGGGAAGAACATGTTCAGCATTTCGCAAGCTGAAAGAACTGAAGAAAAAATTCAAGCCTCGAGTTGCAATACTGAAGGATTCTACGGGGAAAATATTGATCGACACAGGAAGCATCAAAAGAAGATGAAAGGAATGCTCAGAGTCAGTGTACCAAAAAGAATTTGTTGATGTTCAGCCATTTCAGGAGGTAGCGTAGGATCAAGAACCAATGGTACTGAAGGAGGAAGTCCAAGCTGCACTGAAGGGAATGGCAAAAAACAAGTTTCCAGGAATTGACAGAATACCAACTGTGATGTTTCAACAAATGGATGCAGCACTGGAGGTGCTTACTCATCTATGTCAAGAAATTTGGAAGACAGCTTCCTGGCCAACCGACTGGAAGAGATCCATATTTTTGCCCATTCCAAAGAAAGTTATCCAACAGAATGCAGAAACTATTGAACAATATCATTAATTTCATACACAAGAAAAATTTTGCTGAAGATCACTCAAAAGTGGTTGCAGCAGTGCATCGACAGGGAACTGCCAGAAGTTCAAGATGAATTCAGAAGAGGACATGGAACAAGGGATATCATTGCTGATGTCACGTGGATCTTGGCTGAAAGCAGAGAATACCAGAAAGATGTTTATCTGTATTTTATTGACTGTGCAAAGGCATTCAAATGTGTGGATCATAACAAATTGTGAATAACATTGTGAAGAATCGGCATTCCAGAACACTTAATTGTGCCCATGAGGAACCTGTATATAGACCAAGAGGCACTTGTTCAAGCCGAACAAGGGAATAGTCCGTGGTTTAAAGTCAGGAAAGGTGTGCATCAGGGTTGTATCTTTTTACCATACGTATTCAGTTTGTCTACTGAGCAAATAATCCGAGAAGCTGGAATATATGAAGAAGAATGTGGCATCAGGATTGGAGGAAGGCTCATTAACCACCAGTGATATTGAAGCACTTACTGATGAAGATCAAAGACTACAGCCTTCAGTACGGATTACATCTCAAGATAAAGAGAACAAAAATCCTCACAACTGGACCAATAAGTAACATCCTGATAAATGGAGAAAATACTGATGTTATCAAGGATTCTGTTTTGCTTGGATCCACAATCAGCACCCATGGAAGTAGTCAAGAAATCAAACGATGTATTGCTTTGGGCAAATCTGGTGCAAAAAACCTCTTTTTTAAAAAAATTTTT